CTTGCTCCCTCACTGCCTTTACATCTCTGCTCAAAGTCCACTACATCCCTGAACACTCAATATAACACCTCAAGCCCCACACTTCCTATCCCCTTACCCTGTTCTATGCTTGTCTTTAGCACTTAACACCCTCCGACATACTATCTACTGAACTTACTCATCAACCTGCTTATTTTCTGTGTCTGTCCTCTGGAATGTAAGCTCTATGAGAGCAGAGACTTATTTTGTTCACTTATGTTCTATCCCTAGTGCCTGGACCATTATAGGTGCTCAATAATCGAAGTGCTCATCATAGATGCTAAATAATTGTAGAATGGCTGAATGAATGAATGAATGATGGAATTTTTATTCTCATTGGTAGGGCTTGGTGGGTGGCCTCCACAGGAAGTGATTGGGCAGGGATCTACTTATTTTGGTGGGGAAACCCCTAAATGTCAATGGCTGTAAGCCTTTCTCTTAGAAAGTGAGTTCCCATCCCTCACCCTATGAATCCTTCAGTCTCCTGCCTAAACGATAAAAGCCTGACTACCAGCATTTTGGAAGCTTGGCCCACAAAGGTGGCTGAATGTTTTCAGTGTGCAGTATGCAAACTTTTAATTAATTTCCCTTTGTTTAATGAGGTTAATTCATTCATTCATTTGACAAATATTTACCAAGTGACTATTAAATACCAGACACTGCTCTAGATACTCGAGATTCATCAGTGAAAAAAAAGACTAAAATCTCTATTTTTTGGAGCTCATATTCAGCTATGACAGGTGTTCTTGGATCCAGAGATGCCCTATCTAGAAAATAAAGCTCCTGTTTTCCACTAGGTGTGGGCAGGGGCAGTTTCTTGGTTGAGCTCTGGAGTTATAACTACTCCTTCCATGCACTTTCAGTAGGGTTGCTAAATCAGGCAATTCTAACTTTCAGCCAGTCCTTGTGTTTTCAGTGCCCCCCCCCCCCTCAAATGTCATTCTATCCACTCACTCTGTCCTCCAGAGGTACCTGGCCCTGGTGCCTTCAATTTGCAGCTTCCCCAGGGGTAGTAACACAAAAACAGCTTCCTTCTTTTTTCACTTGGTTCTGCTGAAGTCAGTGAAGGCTCAGGTATCCTCATTCAGCTTCCTAAATGTGATTTTCTCCTCCTTTCTCTGTGTACTGGAAAGCTTATGTGCTCTTTCATTCCTTTATTATAATCTTAGAAAGTAAGTAACTACCTACATTAATCTGCCATGTTTAATCAGCCAACCTGAGCATCACCTGCAGTGTAATCTTCCTTAAACACATCAGATTTTGAAGAATATATTCATTGAGCATCTATTCTGTGCAGGGCATATACTGAGATTCTGGACGGTGTTTGTGTTTCCATTCCTAGGATGCCTCGGAGAGATTCAGGCCTCTGGTAACACCCCTGTAACTCCCCAACACACACACACACAATAAGCATTGGGTTCAGCCTTCCTATCTTACTATCTGGGTAGCCAGGGAGAATATAGAGGCCCCTGGTTCTTACATCTTACTCCAGGCCAGCCGTTGGTGAGAAGAAGGATCTCAGCTGTTCATCTGGTTTTTCACCTGTCCCCATACCGGGGTCTGGACTAAACTGCCAGAGGTCATCCCATCAGTTCCCTCACACCTCACTGAAATTCCTGGGACATTCTCCTGACTTTGAGAATTACCATTGCCTGGAATTTACTGCAGCCAGGAAAAGAGGTGGAGAACAGATTAAAAATTAAGAATTAAGATTAATATTTAATTGAGTTGATTAATATAATATTGTAAATTAATATACTTCAAATTTTTTTTAAAGAATTAAGATTAAAATACAGCCATTAGAGTCTTGAGTTTAACTTCTGCTCTTAAACACCATTTATTTATTAATAAATACTTGGGAATAAATAGTTGAACTTTCCTCATTGAGTTGCCATGAAAATTAAATGAGATATGCATGGAAAGGGCTTAGCATAAGGTCCAGGACCCAGTAATAAATGAAATGCAAAGAAAAGTTCAGCTTCCCTAGCCCTTCAAATTGGTCCATGTGGCTATTAATGCCAAGTTTGAATCAGGCCAGAATCTATCGTATTCTAATGACTATCAATTCTAATAAAGATATAAATCTTCGTGGTTTCTCCTGGAAGGGGCCCACATATCCCTTCCATACACGATTTGCTCCCTACAACTTACTTCAGATCTCCCACATCATCTGGGTGGCCCAGAATATCTCAGCCCTTTCAACTGGATTAAAGAGATCCCAGAACGCTAATGCCTTCAGGTTCCTGGAAAAATCAAACAAAAATCATTTCTGGAGAGGAAAAAAACCCACATTTTTTAAGCCTAAAATCATTTCTACAAACAAATCTTCAAATACGATTTTGGATAGAATCAAAGAAAGCCAGGCACAGACTGAGATAATGTGAATAAGAATCAGCAAAACCAGTAGGAAATAGATACAGAGTTACATGGTCTCCAGATATTGGCACTGATCAGACTTTAAAATAATTAACTTCTTGTATTACAGGAAATAAAATACAGGATTGAAAATCTCAGCAGAGAACTGGAAATATTTTTTTAAAGACATAGCAGAACTGAAAAAGAACCACTAAAAGTCCTAGAACTAAAACTATAATAACTGAAATTAAGTTATGGATTTTCACCAGACTTCTTGTCTCAAGAATCCAGCATCCTCAGGCTTCCTTCCCTTCTTGCTAGAATCCATGGTTTGCCTCTAAGAGCTGATCTACGAATGGATATTTGCAGCCAAATGTACAATAACTTGCAAAGTACATATGCCTGATGTTCAAATGTAATTATCTGTTCATTGCGACCTTCACGAAACCCATCACAACAAAACACTGTGTTTTCTAGTTTTCAACACCATGGACCCCATTTTTTTAATACTATAAGGGCAAGTGACAGGCACCCTGTCAAAAGTGCTTTGATTTATCGAAATGTGGAATTTCTACATATGACCCTGACGTCAAATATGGAGTAAATATAACTTTGTGTCACAATCTACAACATTACCTTAAGGATTACCATGAGTTTTTCAAATAGTTATTTGACTTCATTAACAGAAGAAAAAATAAAACACTGACTACCATAAATTTCTCAATTTTTTTTTTTTTTTTTTTTTCTTAAAAAACAACACGACCTTCACAATAAATCCTGTGACTAATGGGTGAAAATGACATAGCAGGCTTTCTTTTCAACTGCAAGGTTCCCAAAAAGGTTAAAAGATAATAATGATGATGATAACTAATGTTTATTGAGCATTTTCTACATGACAGGAACTGTTCAAAGGAACTTACATGGTTTCACTCATTAAAGAGATTTAAAGATATATAACATAAATGATACACTGATGACATAAATAATACTATTTAATGGAAAATCAGGCTTTTTTTCAAAATTATTCTTTTTACAAAATACACTATAGGGCTTCCCTGGTGGCGCAGTGGTTGGGAGTCTGCCTGCCGATGCAGGGGACGCGGGTTCGTGCCCCGGTCCGGGAAGATCCCACATGCTGCGGAGCGGCTGGGCCCGTGAGCCATGGCCGCTGAGCCTGCGCATCCGGAGCCTGTGCTCCGCAACGGGAGAGGCCACAACAGTGAGAGGCCCGTGTACCGCAAAAAAAAAAAAAAATACACTACAATTCTGCTGATACAGTTAGGGACAAGAAATATATATATATATGAGAGAAATTAGGAGAAAAAAACCACTTTACGATAACAAACTACAAGTAAATCTATAACTTTTCCTGCAATATTATATTTTTCTTCTGAAAGTAGAAACAAAATTTTCAAAAACAATGAACAGGGTAATAATTTTATTTGCAAACAACCTTTTACATGCCAACATTAAGTTTTAAAATATCATTAAATTTTAAAATATATTTAGAGAGTATCCATGTTATTGCCTTATGCAAAGGTTAATTTTTCAACACTATGAGTCTAGTTGTCCCAGATGTTTACATTGTAGTATTTCACTGTTTAACTAATGCTGTATTATTGTGGTTTCACTGAATATCATTCCAAGTAGAGTCATTAGGAATATTTCAATCATAATTTTGTATAATTCGATCAAATTTCCTAATATCACCAGCAGAAATGGCTAAAGACATACATTTTTTAAAACAGAGGACTCTTCTAAGAGAATTTTACCTAATAAAATGCATGAACCAACTTCTTAAATTAGTAAACGTCTTAAAGATTTACAAGTAATTTGGGACGTTATTTAAACACATTCTTGATATTATGAAGGGTTGAAATTTAGTTCTTCTCACCATTCTGACCATCAGATTCCTGGAAATTTGCTGTGTTGCTTAGCTTTTTATTTTTCTTTGTTTAACCTATTTGAATCTCTCATACAGTCTGTAACCCTTATTATTTAGAAAAACTATGTATTCATAGAATCATTTGGCTCTTCAGACCACCTAGGGCCCCAAAGGTCTTTGAACCCAGTCTCTCACACAATATTTGAGCGCTCTCCGACACATCAACCCAAATGTTTTCCATCCCCCATGCCTGCTAAAATAGGGAATTATCCACATGACAACCCACTCCATTTTCAGTTTTCATTATTAAAAATGTCTTCTCTAATCTGAAGTGAAACGTTCTTCTCCAAAACTGCCACCTATTTTGGATTCCACCAATCTCAGCACTGTCCGTGGCAGAATGACCTTGGGCAAGTCAATCTCCTGTTGCTTTCATTTCCTTAGTTGTAAAATGGGGATAAAAAATGTATGTCAGGGCTTCCCTGGTGGCGCAGTGGTTGAGAGTCCGCCTGCTGATGCAGGGGACGCGGGTTCGTGCCCTGGTCTGGGAAGATCCCACATGCCGCGGAGCGGCTGGGCCCGTGAGCCATGGCCGCTGGGCCTGTGTGTCCGGAGCCTGTGCTCCGCAACAGGAGAGGCCACAACAGTGAGAGGCCCGCGTACCGCAAAAAAAAAAAAAAAAAAAAATGTATGTCATAGTGGTGTGGAGATTAAATGAGAATGTTATAAAGTACCTGGCACAATACAGGGCCTTTGTAAGCCGTGGCCTTTATTAGGAGTAGGGAACCCTCCTCTGCATGGCTGCTCTCAGAAATGTAGTGGCAACTATTGTTTTCTCTCCTCCAGGCCAAATATTCCCATTTCCTTCCACTTTTCTTTGAAAAACATGGTATTGTCTTTCTTATATTTCTAGTCATTCTTTCCTGAATACGTTTAGTTCTTAGAGAGAAGAGTCAACTGCCAATCAAAAACATTATAGCCACCCATTTTATCAACTTAGAGCAGGTTGTCATTGCAAGAAAATATCTATCTTTCCCCTATTGCTAGGTAAACCTCCTCTCCCCTACCCCACATCCAGTGTCCCTAGAGTTGACCCTCTGGCAATAGAAAGCAATAGGTATGGATACTTTCTGGTTCTAAAGTGAGGAGGAGCCAGAAGTGCCCCTCAGACATTAGGATGTATCTGAGAAGTTTCCGTCTTCATTCTGGTAGGATGCCGGCTCTTCCTCATCAAGAGTCGCTCCTCTCTGTCCGCTCCATTCCTTCCTCTGGGCTTCACAATTCTGGGTGGTAGCTCCATAGGACATCTTCTTTTTGGGACTCGTGAAACTCTCATGGTTGAGTTCTATCTCCTCGGCTAATTCATCGTTGTCAATGATTCCGCACTTCTCCTCAGAAAGGTTCTCAGGGTCAGCCCACTCCTGTTTCTCCCCAGAAGCAAAGACCCCATAGAAGATCACGCCACTGTAGTGCACCAGGGCAGCTATGAGGAACACATTCTGCCATTCCTCACGGGTCTAAACAAGGAAACACGGTACCAATTAATATTTGAACCAAAAACAGAGATTAACAGTATCTTCTGGAGGTCTCCATTGGGACAAAAGCACTTGGTCACCCCAAAGGCAAATGCTGTGCTTCTCCGGAAGACATGTGGCAGAAGCATGCCCAGGACCCAAACGGAATTTGAGTGTTTAAAAACGAAAGTTAAGGGGCTTCCCTGGTGGCGCAGTGGTTGAGAGTCCGCCTGCCGATGCAAGGGACGTGGGTTCGTGCCCCGATCCGGGAAGATCCCACATGCCGCGGAGTGGCCGGGCCCGTGAGCCATGGCCGCTGAGCCTGCGCGTCCGGAGCCTGTGCTCCGCAACGGGAGAGGCCACAACAGTGAGAGGCCCGCGTACCACAAAATAAGTAAATAAATAAATAAATAAAACATGAAAGTCAAGACTACAATGAATATGCATTTTTTTAATTTAGAAAAATATTTACAAAATAAACATCCTGTAAACTCCTTGCTGCACCCCTTCACAGCTCTTCTAAATATACAAGTGAGGTTTCCACTCACATAATAGGTTAAATTAAACTTGCCTTAGGAACCCACCGTTGTAAACATCAGAGGTCTCCCTCTTGCTTTGGATACATGACAATTTGAGCCATGAAAATGCTCAGTATTGACTGTCAACAGCTTAATTATAATCATAATTTCTATGAAAATATACTGTATTAAAAATAACGGGAATTTGTGTTTAAAGTTAGGAGCAGACGGTATCTGAGATTTAATGATCATATTACCAATCCTTTCATCTCATGAACAGACAAAGCGCGGATCCTCTGCCTATAAAATCCCCAAAGACCACCTTCCTTTTCTATCAAAAGATAAGAAAAGTTATCCCGCACTTTCCTCTCCAAGAAGCTGGAGAATTTCTGAAGTCATATTTGCAATAGGCAATCCAACAACAAAAAATTGTTGGGTAAAAACTCCATAGTATCAAGAAATGTTTATTTGCAGACAGCAGCATCTAAAACCCTTTCAAAGACAGGGATTAAGAAACCATGTGGCCTGTGGCTGAACTCTGGATGGATCTGGGATCTTCCTGTGCCACCCACCCTAGTCTAAATACACAAATATTCAGTAACGACTTAGTGCCACACCCGCTTAGGTTCTTAGGAAGGGTCATTAATGTCTTGTTTATTTTCTTCATAATAAGGAAGTATAACTGCACTAATATTTTCATGCTGGAACATGCTAAATGGAAATGGGCTGTAAAGTTTAATTACTTATGATTATAAAGCAATCAGGTAATTTATTTATCCTGAGTTGATTACCTCAGTTTCTTCTTTGTATCTCTAAACATTCTATGGTATTAACACCTCCCCTCCACACACACACAGACCCCTTTTATTTCTCAATTTAAGAAACATAGACCCAAACGTCAGTCAGCCCTGTTGCCATCAATAAACAATAATTTTTTAAAAGAAGAAGAAGAAATTAAAAAAAAAAAAAGTTCAAGTGACTCAGCCAGGTGAAGGACATACACATTTACACAGACTGGGGTAGGGCCTTGAGAGTCTGTGCAGTACTTCAGTCCCCTGATACTGTAACCCACAGCCCCAAAGGAAAACATTACCTTGTGCTTGGTCATCGCGCCCACAATGAGGGGACAGATCATTCCAGAGAGGGTTCCCACTCCGTTTGAGATCCCCATGAGAATGCTGGCATAGCGGGGGGCAATGTCCAAGTGGTTGACATTAAAACCTACAGTGAAGCCAAACACCTCAAAATCAGACTCAAGAACAGAATTCCAAATACATTTTGGAAAATACTAGCTTTCCCCAACTCTCATCAATCTATTTCCTCTACATGTAACTAATGGATACCTTTACTGGAAAGGCTGGGTTGAGGATTGTCAGGCTGTGTCTGCACATAGCAGAAAAACATGCTATGATTGACTAGCAATGACTACCATGGGTTCTCCATGAGGAGAATTATGGCACCTGTACCTTCTAGGCTTAGAAGCCCAAAATAATGGTGTTTGGGGCAATACTGAAAAGCCCGAAGCCTGGATCACATTTATTCAGAGTAAACAATCACATGATCACATAGAGTGTGCTTAGAAGCAAACCCTGCCTCATAATATCCTCCCTCTTAGCTCTCAACTCGCTCCCAAAAGGCCACCATAGGTAGGTCTGCCTTAGTAGCTACATGGCATAATGGAAAGGGCTCCTTTTTGATAAGAAAGATTTACACAAACATTGGCAGAATCCTCTGCAATTTTCAAAACACTTTTACATACATACTTGATTTGGAGTCTGTAAACCTGGATTCGAATCTTATTCCTACCTCTTAAACAAGTCATTTTTTAGGACTTTGTTTCCTCATCTCTAATTTGGGGGTAATGTTACTACTTAACTCATAAGGATGCTGTGAGATGAGACTCAGGGGAAATATGTATGCGAGAGCTCTTGGCAGACAGCTAGGCTCTGGTTACTCTCATGATTACCAACACCAGTACTACCTCTGCTGTTGCCGCCACTTCTAAGCAGCCCCTCTCTTTGAGGTCTTCCATCTATAGATAACTCTGCTAGGAGTGGTAAAATAATAAATCACCAACACCTCACTATTAATCTGCTTATCAGGAGACAAGGATGAGTGGGATGAAGGAGGAGTGAAGGCAGAGGAGGAATAAGGCTTTGAAAGAGGAGGCATCAGGCACTGGGAACCAGTTCTACCAGTATAGCCCAGGGGTGCATTTTAGAGTCAGACAGACCTCGAACCTGGCAGCTTAACTGAGATGCAAACCTGGACAAAGGATTTAAACGTTCTGAACCTCAGCTTCTTCACCTATAAACTGGGATAATCAGTCTTATAGAATTGTTGTAAGAATTAAGTTAAATCATATATGTTAATTACATAGATACATAGAGGTGAAAGCCAACATATAGGTTCTTTACGGTTGGTTATCCATCTGCCTTGTTTACCACTATCTTCCCTGAGCTGGCAAAGTGTCTGGCACATAGTAGGCATTCAATAAATAGTTGTTTAATTAATTACCAATTTGAGCTCTGAAATTACAGCAGGGGGCTGTAGGTTTTGTTTATTCATATTTTTATTTTCCTTGGTCTTGCTTTTTAATTCTCTATTTTGTGCAAAGAACTTGAAAACAGAATTTGAAAAAAATATTTTTCCTAATCTGGCACATTGGCTGGTTGTTTTTTTTTTCCTACCTCCATTCAGAGAGAATTTTGAGAAAACCTTTCTGGAATAAACATACCTTCTCTTTCAGGTCAAAGTGGCAGAAAATCAGAATATAAAACAGCTGCAAGATTAATTAATCTTACTGTTGATTTGAATGCGGTAAACACTTTATTAGAAAAGAACCCAGAGATAAGAAGCAATTAATACGATTGGCGAGTATTATATTCTGATACAAAGCCTAGGCATTTGCGTTCAGCTAAAAACAATGTCAGAAAAGCCGTTTAGGTTTCTAGCTGCACAATACTGATGTTTGGGGGGAAAATTGTTGAGAAACTGAGACATTGATAGATTTTTTTGAAGCAGGCACACAAAGTAAGTTACACACAAGTTGGGAGAGTCAGTCTTCTCTACATATGACATTTTCTAAAGCAGGCATCACCCATCCTTCGTTTTTGTTTTTGTTTTTTTCTATATTGAAACTTTATTACAAAGTTATAAAGCAGAGCTCTTTAACAAAAAATACACATTTGGGTTTGCTCTTAACACCCAAGTACGTCTGAGAAAATATTAATGTAAGCCACTTGAAATAACAGATTCACATCCAAAAGATTTCAACAAATTTATACATTTTATATTGAGCACTTTCCATCCCTTGTATCTTTCTAATCTCACCGGTCTCAGCTCTTTTGTCCAGAATCAGTTCCTAAGCGGAGCAAGTCTTCCCTGGCATCCTTATTAACTCCTTATAAAGTTGGCAGATAGCAGATCCTAAGGAATCATCATCCCCATGACCATAATCCCTCCCATAGTCTCACTGATGGATCAGATAAACCTTTATTCCAATCCTAATTACTTAATTTATCTGCGTAAGTTAAGTCACGTTTCCAAGCATCAGTGTTGTCACTGACAAAATGAACATAGCAATACCCTTCTCATCAGGCTGCTACAGAGATTAAATGAGATTATATCTAAAAAGTGGCCAGCATTGAGTAAGTGCTGGGAAAAAAAAAAAAAGTGGCAGCTGCTGTGATTTGGGCTGTTGGATTTCTCTCCTTCTGATTGTGGCTTAATTGGCAATCTGGGGACAATATGAGCCTGAATATTTCAATATCTCTGGGAACAGGAGGATATGAATTTCTTTTGCATCACAGGGCTATCAAAGAAAGGTGTTCCTTAACATCCTACTAGAAACAAGTCATTACTGCTCTATCCTTGCTACTCAAAGTATGGACTATTGATCAGCGGCAACAACATCACTGGGGAACTTGTTAGAAATGCAGGACCTCAGGCACCACTCTGGACCTACTAAATCAGAATCTGCATTTTGCGAGATCCTAAGGTGATTCGTATTCACACTAAATTTTGAGAAGCACTGGACTAGATTAAATAATAATTGAACAACAATAGTGAATATTTATTAATTGTCTTATGCATCTGGTACTGGGCTAAGATCTTCTAATGCTTTATTTCCACTAGAATGTAAACTTTATGAGGACAGAATCTTTAATTTTTTTTTTTCCCTGCAATATTCCCAGTGCCAAGAACAGCGTCTGTCTCTTGGGAAGTGTGAGTGAATAAATGAATGATCTCAGCTCATTGCAATCTCCCACAACCCTATGAAGTTGCCGTTACATTGCTCCAATCTCTAGATGAGGAAACTTGAGGCTTGAGGATGTAAATAACTTAGCATTTTTTTTCTTTTATAAATAGTAAGTAGTAAAGAGGGCCCTTAAACCCAGGTCTCTGCATCCCCAAACCCGTTGTTAGCTGCAAGCTACTTTTAATGCAGACATTTTTTCCTAATTTAACTATGTATCAGCTCTATTTACAGTTGACCCTTGAACAAAGCAAGTTTGGGCTGCATGGGTCCACTTACAGGCGGATTCGTTTTTCAGTAGTATATACCACAGGACTACGGGATCTGTGGTTGATTGAATCCTCAGATGAGAAATTGAGGATACAGCAAAACCCAGGATGCAGAGGAACATCTTATACAGAGGGCCGACTACAGGGTATAGGCGGATTTTCAACTGTGCTGGGGGTCAGCACCCCTAACCCCCACATCGTTCAAGGGTCAACTGTATTTTGAGAAGATCAAGTCCCCGTTTTATGTTAGTTTAGACCAGAGGTTCCATGTTTTTCTGTTCTGGGATGTTAGCACCCTGTTTGATCTTTAAGACAGCCCAGAATTGTGGAAAGAGCACAGACACGAAGCCTGGCAGGACTGCACCTTAGTTCTTCCTTTGCTACCAATTGTGTGACAATAGGAAAGTCCCCAGTTTTCCTGAATTTTAATTTGCTCCTCAGTAAAATAATGGTAATATCATTTGCTTCATAATTTTGTCAGATAGATGCAATATATGTAACGTGTTCTGTAAATGACACTTTTTAGTCCTACAATATGTTTTTAAAGTTAGAAAAAAAAACTGAGTTTTACTTTTTCACCCAGTTTTGCATAGGGAGCTTCTGAAGTCTGTAAGACATGATATGCTAGCCCTGTGACCTCTCACACAGTAGGCTGGTTTCTGCTCCGGTAAAATGGGAGACTGATAGCCCTTAGGGTAGCTGTGAGAATGACAGGGATTAATACACAGAGTGGGCTTTGAACAGTGCCCGGCACAGAGTTTGTGCCTGATCAATGTTAGCTCTCATCATCACCATTATTATTTTTACTTCCTGCTCTCGCCTGTTTAGAAAGTCACATCACCTCTCTGGACCTGAATTTCCTTGTTTGGAAAATGAAAGCCTCGGAGTAGACAAAAATCTAAAGAAGAGTTCCACCCTTAAAAACTTCTGATTCTATGACTATATGTCAAATGACTACATCGTTTGACTTTTGAGTTAATATCAGCAGCTCTCCAATAGGAGGTGAGGATTGAAAAGGTCACGAGAGCCTCCGTTAGTTAGGGTGACCTGGTTCTGAAGTATGAAGGTGTCACTTCATCCAGCAACACACGTGCTGCCCATGCCCCAGAGGCAGCGCCTGCACGTTGTTTGTTTCCAAGATGGAGAAAGTATCAACAATTCCAGCTTGACTGCGCTACTAAGCCTGGTTCTCAGTGATCTGACAAAACCATCCCCACTAGGTGAAAGTCTCTACCAGTGGCCCTGACCCTTGGGAATGGCTTGGCTACCAAAGGAAGATGCTACAATATCTTTTCCTTTCTTCCTCCCAAGTCTTGCTGGATCTATGGAAAAGATTGGGAAACCCAAAGGACACTTTACCTGAAATAGCAAAACCACTGAATCCTACGGCAAGCACCAGAAAGGAGATAGCCACCCCTTTGGTATGTGAAAAGCCAACCACAAGGAGTAAGGTTGCCTCCATGCCAAAACCTGCAAATGGAAACAGCAGGGGGGAAAAAGTCATTTTCATGTCAATCAGCCCAAGTTCATGAACTTATCAGATAAGAATCTGTTTTTATTTCCATGGACCCAAGTTTTTAGTACATACATTCTGGCACAATATCTACAATCTTATTGGGGTGTTTCTTGACTACATGACGATGCTAATATTACCCAGGTGTTCTGTGAGCCTTCCAACATTTTCCTGGTGGACTTTGAACACTGAATGGTCCCAGGAGGTACGATGATGCCCGTGGGATGAGGGATGTTTATTATCCGTTCTTCATGGGTAGTTCCCCCTGACATTTCTAAATACTAAAACCATCAGTGACTCTCCTTTGATTACATAAGTGAGGGTCTCTCACAGAAAAATGAAATAAAAATAAAATTAAAAAATAAAATATTATTATTGCCAAAGGTGACTAGAAAGCTGTAGTGAATATCTGAAACAAAAAGCAGAGTCTCACCACTTGTAAAGCATAAGGCAGAATCTTCCCTTTCAGAAGTTTGCCAAGCTCTCAGGCCTCTGTATAACGCCACGAGATATTTGCACAGAAAATACAGCAGGACAAAAGTACTTTCTGTTCCTTTCATTCAGAATAAGTGAATCCAGCACAATAAAAAAGAGTAAGGAAGTTATGAAGATGGTCCTTCTCATCAACACACAGACACACACACACACACACACACACACACACACACACACACACATTCAGCCGATAGCAGACCGAAAGATGATATGAATACCATTTCCAGGGACATGAAGTACCCTGGGAGGTAGAAGACAATGAAATGATGCTTCATACTGGGGACCATCTGCTGATTCCAGACATCACCACACATTTGTCCTTTGAGTTACCTCAAAGACAACAGGCCCACATCAAGTCTCTGTTCCCCTACTTTCACTCGGAAACAAAGCAAACTACCACCACACTCTTTCTTCTTCTCTAAATTAAACTTCTATCCACCTGTGTTTAGAACCCAGACTTTGTCAGATGGGCCCGGGTTCAGATTCCATCTCAGAATCACAAATTGTGTGATCTTGGACAAGTCACCTCACCTCTTAGATTCCTCATCTCCCCCACCAAATGGAGCTCATAATACAACCTTGGAACATTGGAAGGTTAAGTGAAATTGGGTATATAAGGTGTTGAGCGTGATCGTCGGCCATGGGCACAGCTCAACAAATGGTAACCAAAAGTCCAATGCAGAAATCTCAGAATCATCTTGGACTTCTTCCTCTTCCTCAGCTTTCACATAAGATAAGAATCCATGGGTTTGGCCTCAGAAATATCTGTCAAATCCGACCTCTGCTTTCCCCTCCTCTGCCATTGTCTTAGTTCTGGGCGCCACTATCTCTCACCTGGACAACTTCAATAACCTCTTTACTGTATTGGTCTTCCCATCTCTTTTTCCTCTGATCCATTCTCTAGATTATCTTTCTAAACCACAAATCTGATCAGTTGCCCCTTTGCTTAAAACCCTTGTCAATGGTTACGTATTATGAGTACAATGCTGTATAATAAATCCCTCCTGCGGTTCCAGCTTCATCTTCAGCCATCCTCACCTCCTTGCTCAGCACCTGTAGCCCGTAGAAAGCCCCCTGTTGTCACACAGATCTATCCGCTGTTTCTGATCGCAGCACTGTTTTGTGCCCATAATGTATTTCCACAGACTGTTCCTTCACCTGCCGTACTCTCCTCCCAGCACTTCTCTTTTCTGGAGAAATCTTACTATTCTTTAAAGTCCAGCTCAAATATTGCTTCCTTTAGGAAGCTTTCCTGATAACCCTGCCGCTCACCCACCAGTAAAGTTGACATCTCACTCTTACTCATTTTATAGAGCTTTTCAACATTGCCTTGTAGTTTTTCATTTGTATTTCTGCCTCCCTGACAAAACTGTGATATTATCCAGGGAAGGTACCATATATATAGCACAGAGCCTGTATGTAGTGGGAACTCGATAAATAATGCTTGATGAATTAATGTGAAGGAAAGAAAGGAAAACCAAGACAAGTTAAAACACAAGCTAAAGCACTTTTTGTAAACCTTGGTAATTTGCTTACCTGTCTGAGTCCATTTCTTCAAAACTATCATAGAAATAGGGCAAGCCTCAATAATTGTTTTACTTGGTCATCTAAAGAAAATCAATGCAATTACGGGTGCAGAGGTGCTTTTTAAACTGTGGGCTTTACAGACTCACTCATATAGAGAACAAACTAGTGGTTACCAATGGGTGGGGAGGGAGGGGCAATGTAAGGATGGGGGAGTAGAAGGTGCAAACTATTGGGTGTAAGATAGGTTCAAGGATGTATTATACAACAAGGGGAAAGTAGTCAATATTTTGTAACAACTATAAATGGAAAGTAACCTTTAAAAATTGTATGAAAACATTTTAAAATTTTTAATAAATAAATAAAAATTAAAAAAACTGTGGACTTTATACCATTACTACTTGTTATTAATTTTGTTTCAACAGTTTAAATTATACATAAGGAAAAACTACTAGTGTTTTGTATACTAACTATTTGTGTTTTAGAAGTGGCCTGTCTTAAGCAGCAAGGCACATGGCTGAAACTTCCTTTAACACTTTCAACAAAGTGGTACTAGAAAGTTAATTCCCCCAAAGAATTAGAATAAAGACACGTGAAGAAGAAAAGCTACAAATGATACACTGATTCATCTCTAAGGAAAAAAAAGACCTTTGCCAAATAGTAGACTTTCAAAGAAAGAAAAACCATTTAAGAGCCTAAATGGTTCCTATCTACAGTGAAAATGCTAAACATAGAACTGTACGTTTCAGGAGCTGAAGGATAAAATTTGAACTTCATGGGTAATCAAGAGATCCTGGAAAGTGAACCTATTCAGAGCTGACAAGAAAAATAGAACAAGGATTAAAAGGCCTGAGAAATTTTTTCATCTCACCTGAAGTTCACACAGGCAACTGATTCGGCCAGACTAGAATTTTTGACCTCACTCACGCTTTCCATGTAATACAGAGGGAGGTATAAGGATTTGACATCTGTCTTTGAGGATCTTGGAAATGTGTCCTGATTCAGAATGAACTAGAGCATCATGTCTTAAGGTGATCTGTTTGCTTTAAATGATTCTAGCAGCAAATATCTCTTGTCTATGGAAAGAAAAGAAGGAGGCGGAAGACTCCACACAATGCGTGATCTTTCTCAGATGAGAAACGTCCTCTGTGTTTTGGCTTAGAAAATATGAAACCAACTAAAATTCTCTAGAAGATCATGTAAGTGCTTCATTGTATCCAAATCAATCTGGCTTATTCAGTGATGGCACAAAACTCTGTTTATCTCTAATGCAGCATCTCTGTGTTTAAGCAAGGTGGGATAAGCATGGTCTTTAAAAAATTTTTTTCTATGTATATCCCACTGGTTCTGCTATGTCAAAATATAAAATGACATGAATAGACATGTGAAGAGATTTTTTTTCTTTTTAAGATGGGATAGAGGCTGGGGAGATTCTATGAATGCATTCTAGTTTCTGCCAAAAAAAAAAAAGAAATAAGAAAAAAAAAGGATTTACTCTCAAGGATTTAAAATATTTGAGAGTTGTCACCACCACCTAAACTACTAATTATGAAGAAACAATGGCAAAGGTGATTGAGGAAAAATTAAATATGAACAAGACATTCCTATGAAAATGTTGTTAGGGTCTTCAAGGCATCTGTCTTTAGAAGAGGTTGTACAGGTAGAGTTTAAACACAGAATTTTCTTTCAAGTTCTAGGTTTAGAAGTTGCATATTTTTGGCCATGGGAAATATGATTGAATAGCATATACTTATTGAATGCTTCCTTTGGAAAATTTCTGTTTTGTCAGTGTCTTGAACACAAGAGAAGAAAAAGGCACTAAAATATGTCAAGAACATTCTGTTTGCTGAGCTCATGCTGGGTGCATACATACGTTGTCCCATTTACAATCATAACAATCATAACAATCATCTGAGGTAAATATTATATTCAGATATTAAAGAAGAAGAAAGTAAGGCTCATGGAATTTAGAAATCCATCCACTTCAGTGTCCACCTCCACTGACACTACTTTAGGTCAAGCCACCATCTTCTTTCCATGGAACGACTGAAATAGCCTCTTAGCTAGTTTCCCTTCTTTTACTCTAAGTTCTATTGTTTTGATTTGAAAGCGTAAATCAGATCTTGTCCCTTTCCCTCCTTTAAACCCTCCATTTGCTTCCCAATGCATCTCAAGTAAAACCCAAGCTCCACGTAGGTCTGTCTACAAGGCCTCCCGTGATCTGGCCCCAGCTGTGCACTCTGATCCCCTCAATGTCACACTCCACCTCACTCATCAAGCACCGACCATTCTGACTTTCCTTCCTTCTGTTCTCTAATATGTCACAGTCATGTCTGCCTCAGGGCCGTTGCACATGCTATCCCCTCTGCCTAAAATACTTTCCTGCGCGAGCTGTAATAAGGCAGTACATGATGAGTTGTCAACCAAGTGTATAGACAGAAGGAGCATTCACTGGAGGCTGAGGTAGCCTTAACAAAACACAAGTGAAAAGACTTGAGCTGATGTAGTAGGCTGTGTGGGGAGGACTGGGTTGATTGGTGAAGGTGAGCAGAGCTCACAGTAAAGGGAAAGGGCATGAGCAAAGTCAGAGACAGCAAGATATATTCAGGGCCTGGTATGGAGGGCTATTCAGCTGGAACAGAATCTGATAATTAGAGGAGTGGTACTCTGACTACTATTTAAGTTTCTGATTGCTACTATAACAAATGACCACAACCTTAGTGACTTAAGACAGCACAACTTTTTTATCGTACAGTGCTAGAGGTCAGAAGTCTGAAATGGGTCCTACAGAGCTAAAATGGGGGTGTCAGCGAGTTGCATTCCTTTTGGAGGCTCTGGGGAAACTCTCTTCTTACTTTCGAAGCTTCTAGAGTCTGCTTGCATTCCTTGGCTTGTGGCTGCATCATTCCGACCTTTGCCTCCACTGTCACATCTCCATCTCTGACTCTGACCCTCATGCCTCCTCTTATAAGGACCCTTGCAGTTATGTTGAGCACACACAGATAATCCAAAATAACCTCTCCATCTCAAGATCCTTAATTTAATCACATCTGCAAAATTCCTTTTACTGTGTAGGGAAACACATTCACTAGTTCTGGGAATTAGGACATAGGCATCTTTGATGAGGAAATTATTCTGCCTACCTCATCCGCCTTGGGGAGGATCATGAATGCAGTGCCGCAGAGCTTCCCCTCCTGCCCATCAGAGAGCAAGCCCATACCTGCCAACCTTTAAGTTCAAGTCAAGGGTAGGCCCCCAAATCCCTGCTTGGGGCCAGCAGTCAAACCCCTGGGAGCCCAGATGCTGACAGGTTATTCCCAATCTCCCTGATCAGACTTTATTCCTGAGATGCTGTGCGATGAGATCGTGCCTGCTGGCTCTTGCATCCCTCCATAGGATCTTCACTTCTAAAGGGCCCTGACCCATCTAATCTAGTCACAGTGCCCCCTTCCCTCCTTTTCAACTTAATATCCCAGTTATGAATTTTCACCCATAGATGGCGCTGTCCTCTACCTCCCACCTGCCCACCCTGACACCCCCCGCCCCCGTCCCCCGGAGAGATAGCAGTAGTGACTGTAAGCCTTGGCAATGAGCTCAGACAGACCTGGGATCTTGCACAGGATCTGCCACTTGAGCAAGTCACTTTATTATACCCCAGTTTCCTCACTGTAAATTGGGTTTAATACATAACAGCACTTGCTCCACAGGGTGGTTATGAGGATTAAATAAAATAATATGTGTAAAGAATTTAGCTTAGTGGCTGGCATGGAAAGTGTTCATTAAATGCTAATTTTAAAAGCAAAACAAAAAAGATAAGGAGAAAGTGGAGGGTTTTAAAAAGGTGAGCTGTCGTAAGCATTGTAAGGGTTCGTGTTACTTTTACCTACCTCTTTTGGAAAATGGCCCAACTTATATTTTATCTTTGCAAAATCAAAACATGAAACAGGAACTAAATAACACAAGGAAGAGGATGGTGTGTGTGTATGTATGTGTGTGTGTGTGTGTGTGTGTGTGTGTGTGTGTGTGTACACCCATGCACAAGCATATGTTGGGAAGAAAGAAAACTATTCAGAGAAAATACTTTTTTAATGTTTCTTACCAAAACATGTATATATGTAGAAAGGGAAGGGGGAGATAAGGGAATAAACTATAAAAGCAAAGGATTATATTTGTGGAAGGATATATGGGAAAGATAAAAAATAAACAGATAGATACCAGGAAATCATGTTGCTTTGGCTTAAGAGTAGATGAAAGAAGCATTTCTGCAGTTGCCAGTGTATACTGATGTATCAAATAAGTTGTCATATCTCTCTCTTTTTAAAAATATTTCTTTTCTTTTTCTTCTTCTTTTTTGGCCACGTGGTTTGTGGGATCTTAGTTCCCCAACCAGGGATTGAACCCGGGCCCTTGGCGGTGAGAGCACAGAGTCCTAACCGCCAGGGAATTCCCAAGTTGTCGTATCTCAGGTTGCACAAGTACAGGCTGAATGACCACTAGGCAGGGGTGTGATGGACACTCAACTGGGGGATGGACTTAGGAGCCTTTGAGATCCTGCTCAGTGATTAGACATAAACTCCAAAATATGGTCTGCAATTCAGTTTCATCTCATTCTATAAAAGCTGCTTAAGCCACCTATGAAATCCACAGTACCTCCACAGTTCATGATTTTTCTGACAGCAGTTGTGGTCAAAATTTTTCTGCTTCTTAAATGATCAGCCAGTTGTCCTCCAACAGGCACAATGATTGTCATAACCATGTGTGGGAGTGCTGACAAGAGACCCACCTGGAATGAAAAGAAGCAATGAGCTATTTTTAGCTACTTCTGAGAGAGGTACTTCCTTAACTCCCTGCCCCTGCCATCTCCACTGCACCCCTCACCATCAGATTTAATCATCTAATTATACGGGACCAAGGTAGGCCTGAATTCTGTAATAAATAAACAATGAATGAATGAATGGTTTTAAGGATAGACCCAATGTCTCCTCCATCAGATCGGAAGCTCCTTGAGGGCAGAGGTGACTTTTATTCATCACAGGCCCCAGCACGCAGCAGAGTGCCCGGCACATGGTAGTTAAACACTTGACGCAGACTGAGTGTTCTCCAATGGCAGCCACTATGGGCTGTGCTAGCTCTTCCACGGTCACTTCTGACAGTACCTGTAGCCATGCAGACATCTACCTCTACTAGGCTGCTGTTCTTTCCCTTGCGGGAAGGAGGCTTAATTCTTTTATGATGACAGTTTATGTTTTACCATTCACATTCTTCCTCCCTGAAACACAGACAACCTAATGGCAATGGCTGGGGACTTTGAAAAAGATCTTTCTAAACCATACAAAGCTCTGGCCATTATCGCTATGACCGTGATCTGCAAAATGAGCTTTAAGGTTCTTACAGCTCCTCACTGAATAATTTACAGGAAAAACAAAAAACAAAACAAAACCCAAAAAAACCTCTCACCCTTAAGTCTTTTGATCCTTGCCTAATATGCAGTCCTTGAGTCAGCTTCAAAAACACTTTGAGATCAGGTATAATACAAATCTTTAAAAGCAGCTTAATACAGCTCTGATCCTTACTAAGAAGAAATTAAATAGCTGTGTATACTGTGCATAGAATGTATAACTTGTCTGACCTCCAGGGTATTAGGTGTCACAGAACCGTTATGAATTTTGATCAGCAATTTACTTATTTTATCATGCAAAGATTTTCTCAGTAGAAGCAAGAGATTTAAACTTCAAGAACATTTGAAGCAACTGTGTGTTTACCTTACTTATTGCAAATCCAAAGACCTCTTCAAAATAAGCAGGCTGACTTATTAACAGCAAGTAAAAGGTCCAGCTTCTGCAAAAATTTGCCACAATGATTGCATAAACCGGCAACGATGTAAAAAATTTTTTCCATGGTGTATTAAATTTCTAGGGAGTAAAAATACCGTGGGATTTTTAGTGAATATACTGACAGATTATTTTTCTTAGGAGGATAACACAATCACTGAGAGAAATACTCATAAAAAAGAGGCAAGTCTTCATCCATCCGGCTCTACTTACACTGAGACTAACCAAGTTGGCTCCTTCTCCTATACTTGTCTCTATATAGGTCCTTTCCTCATGGGATATTGTTGGGTGAACTGCTGGACACTCATAGGCCTGCAACAGCCAAAACATGTACCAGATAATCCCAAATATACCTGCAGTTGAAAAACAAAAGGCTTGATGATACGGTCTCATTTTCTTCCATCTCTAAATCTGTCAAATTTCAAAGTATTCTCAAACGGCACTATATTCAGCTAGGAGAAAGTGTTTGGTTTATTTTTCCGTTGTTGTTATTATTAACTGGTATTTAAAGAAAGATAATGTTCTGCTCATTAAATTCAACTTTCATATAAACATTAAATGAATCATCGCTAGACAAGTATTCCATTTATATGATAAACTTGTCTTAGTAATCTCTATTTTCATACAGAAAACTCTTAGCCAACCCCATTAGACAGTAAAATACCACCTCTATGAGTCACCCAAGGGAACTCGTGAAATCAAATCACTCACCATAAATATAAAAGACAGAGGCCCATCCCATGTACTGTACCAACACGCCGGCCAGCGGCATGGCAATCACTGCCCCCGCGTAGGAACCTAGAACGGGAAAAGGTTGAGGGAAACTTACCAGTCGTCATGCAAGCCCTTTCAAACCATTTAGAGTTCATGTGGTCGAACTGAGGATGAATCAAACTGTGCAGGAGTCACGAGGAGGAGCAGGCAAACTCCCACTGTGCCCAAAACAGGGCTTCCAGGAGAGAAAGTTCACCAGGATGCCCTTTAACTTCCTCCAGACACCATGGAGGGATCAGACAAAGATGGCTCAGGCACCATGATTTGGAATTACAAGAGAATGGAATGAAAGGATGAGAAAAATCTAAGAGAATTCTGAAAAATTCACCCAGGCACAATATTGGGTGCAGAAGACAGAAAGTGAAGGAACATACGTATCTACCTCTCAGGGCTCACAGAGCAGAAGGATTATCACCGTGGCCTTTATTTATTAAAAATTTTTTTTCTTCCAGCTTTATTGAGATATAATTCACCTAGGTCTTTAAAAGAGGGACTTCAAACTATGAAAGGATCATGCTTTTAGACTCTCGATTTTTTTTTTTTTTTTTTTTTTTTTG